CTCTTTGTAATTCATTAATTCCATCATTTTCTTATGCTTCTTTGCTTTTCTTTAACAAATGTCCACATTTTGGTCATTTGTTTTAATAGTTATGAACCGCTTTTGTTAAATGGCGATTATATTTTTGTATAAGAATTCCACATTTACCAAATCGGAGATAGTTCTTATAAGATGTTTTGATAACCACAACATTCTTACAATATCGATTCTTTTTATCGAATGTTTATATCAATGTGTCGAATGGATCTGAAGGAGAAAAAGCATCTATTATCTGAAAAATATTCTCACCGAAAGTGGCAAGTCTAGAAATTCTAGAGAGAGGACGATAACGTGAAACACTATTGGATTTCCATCTTTTTGAAATATTGATATTATTGGATCCGTCAACATATCTATTTATAATATTCGAATGTGTGATTCTTTTAACAATGAAAACAATTAGAATAAAAACTAATTGTTTTTTTGAATACATTCATATGATGGAATGTTGGTGGGTGATTTTCTGTACTGTTGATCATAAGCATGTTTCAGGTAAATACTAGAAATTTACTTGAAATTGTAAGAAAATAAGGAAATTTCTATAATGAAAATTATTCAGTTGTTTTGGTTTGATATAAAGTTGTTAGGCGGGTTGGTGTGATAGAAAAGGATAAATAAAATTCTAATACTAGAAGTGTATGTTTTATAGATAGTTATTTTGACAATAATTTTTTTACTTTTAAAGTTTATGTTTGTTCAAAGGATAATGATGGTGGTGGTTATTGGTTAGAAAACCAGAAATTTGGATAATGGGTATTGTTTAATTTTAAGAAATTTTAAGAGTAATTAGAGAGGCGTTCGTTAGAAAAGCGTCATTATTTCGTATTTTTTTTTGATATTTCTAGTAAGGTTTATAGATAAAGAATGTTTATATAGATTTAAAAACAGGTGTTGTTTATTATGTAATTTAAATGTCTTTGATAAAATTTATTAAAAAAATTTAAAAAAAAAATAATAAAATTTATAACGAAAATGAAACAAGAGAGGATTGGCCGTCCTGGTCAATTTCCACAATAAATGAAAAAATTTATATTGATTCATTGTATGTAGAGATTGAACAAGAAAGTCAATCATTATCATTGATTGATAAATTCAAAATTGAAAATGTAGTTTTTTTTATCGAATATGAAGAATTTAAAAAATATTTAATTGAAAATCATATTATCGAAGCAAATTTTAAGATTAATGAAACTACGAAAAACAAAAGATTAATAACAATTCTGAAATTTTTAGAATCGCATACAAGATCGTATTTTTATATATTAAATAAAGGATATAAATATAGTATATTAAATAACACACATGATCTTGATGAATGGAGAAAGCGAGGTTACGAAGATGATTTTGAGTATTGGTTTGAAAAGGTTAATGAAATTTGTAAAGAATATTTTATAAAATATATATGGACATATTCAGATTTAAGAGGATATGCAGAAAATTATTTGTTATACGATTGTGATTAATGTTTTTATTTGTTTTTTTATTTGTTTTATTATTAACAATATAAATAAAATACATGTGAATTTTATTAAAATGATATTGTATAACTATAATAAACAGAATTAAAATTTAAAATTTTGCTTTTGATTCTGATTGTTTCAACGTGATTGCAATATATTTAACATGTTGACCTTGAGCTATTAGTTTTCTGTTATCTTTGTTATATATTTTTATATTAGCAAATCCCATAGCTTTGCCAAATTTTACACATTCTGCTTCTATGAATAAAACATCACCTTCTTTTGCAGGATTTGTAAACGAAATATTGATACTTGTACTAACACCAGAGGAATAATTTAATCCTTCTGAAGCTATCACAAAAGATCCACATACATCAATCAATGTCATGAGTATTCCACCGTGTGCTGTTTTCATATGATTCAAATGATTTGATTGGACAGTTATTTCGCTCTTCAACATACCGCTAGATGCGCTTATTATCTTCATCTAATATAAAAAATTGATTAATAATTGTTTTGATAATAAAATATAATCTAAACAATACAAATATTCTTTAATAAAGGACCATCGAATCCATCAAGCATTTGGTGAAAATAATTTTCAATCCATGTTTTCATATTTGTTATTGTCATGATTTATTAATTTATTCTTATTATAAAAACAGAAGGACTTTGGATTTAGAATATTAAAGAAAATGGACGGATTGATAATTTTCAACGATATTTTTGAAATCGATAAACAAAAATTATACTTTATTACTGAGGATGATGGGAGATTTGATTGGCATTATATAACTTTATTTTATAATGATAAACCTTGTTCTTTGGATGGGTTTAAATTATACTATGGAACTGATGAATATGATGATGGTGATGGTTATGAATATCCTATAACTAAAAATTCCAATGGGATAGAATCTTTTCTCATTAACTCAAATGCGAGACTTTATTTTAAAAATAATTTATTATATAAGTTTTATTGGAATCGTTATCAATTAAATGATTTTCGCAGCAAAGATGGAAAAATATGTATTTATTTAATTTTGAATAACCACATTTTTAATTTAAATAACGATTTTAAATGTAAATTTATTAAAAGAGAAGTTTATCAAACAATTGATATCGATAAATTTAATATTGCTTTTTTTGATGATGAAATATTCGAGGAAATCAAATCAGAAAACGATGGTATTAGAGATTATTATAAATTAAAAGATGATGTTGGTTATTATTTTATTCTATATAAAAATAGTGTAATTAAACATATTAGTACTTATTTTGATTATTATGATGTGGAAGAAGATAACATTTCTGAAAAATTTTTAATTAAAAGTGTATAATTATGTATTAAATTATTTATTTATTATTAATCATCGTATGAATAAATGTTAAGCAATATTTTAAGAAGAAAAATATAATGTCAAAATTTCCAAAATACAAATCATTGATAGATATTTTTTTAAATGAGAGTAAATCCATCGAATTTTTATTTAATGAAAATATTTTAGAAAAACCAACAAATTGTTCAAAATGTAAAAAAACGAATTTTTTTCGTGAAGATAAAAGATTTCGATGTAAAAATAAACGATGTCGAGGATCTGTTTCGATATTTAAAAATTCATTTTTTTCTAATAATCATTTAAAATGTGGTGATACTTTATATATCGCATATCTTTGGTTAGCAAAAGTTTCTACCAGTTCGATATTAAAGATGACGGATCATTCGCCTAATACAATAACAGATTATTTAGATTTTTTTCGAGAGTTGGTAATTGATACGTTAAAAGATGAACCAAATAAGATAGGTGGTAAGGATGTAATAGTGCAAGTTGATGAATCTAAATTCAGTAGACGTAAATATAACCGTGGACGAAGGATGAATGGTGTTTGGGTTATCGGTGGGGTTGAAATTACGGATGAGAAGCGATGTTTTTTGATAACGATTGATAAAAGAGATAGCGAAACTATTCAAAAAATTTTAAACGATTACATTGAACCAGAATCGATACTTTACACTGATTGTTGGAGAGGATATAATGGTATTGAGGATGGGTTAAATGTGCAGCATAAAACGGTAAATCATTCAAAGCATTTTACAGATCCGGTCATGGGCGTGAATACAAATACAATCGAAGGTATTTGGAATGGTGTGAAATTGCAAATTGCATCATGTCATAGATGTAAGGATTTAATAAAAAAACATCTCTTTGAATATATTTGGCATAGGAAAAACAAAAATAATTTATGGGAAGCATTTTTGGAAGCGTTACGTACAACCGCATATCCGTCTAATTAATTTATTCTAGATTTTTCTTTGCACAATGTGATTATTTTTATGTGATATTTAATAAATATGTACCCGATTTTCCCATTATTCTATATATCATCCGACTAGTATAGTATAACTTGACTAGTGTAGTATGACATGACTAAAGTAATTTGACTTGACTAGTGTAGTATGACTTGACTAGTATAGTATAACATGACTAAAGTAATTTGATATAATAATATAGTATGACATGACTAGAGATGTATCGTATGCATTATGTAGCAATATAAATCTAATATGTATTTATATTTTCAAATCCACAAAGTCTGTTTACTAAGGTGGCTATAGTATAATATACAGAATTTCATAATGCATATAATATAATGTTTATTAAGTGATACAAAGCCAAAAAATCTTGCATTCGTATATCTCTAAACATAACTAACATGGCTTTATCACTACTTGTATACTGCGATACTAACTAGGTATTTTTTTCAAACATTTATCATACTAAACTGATATTAATTTTATTTCTTTTATTACTTCTAGTTGGAATCTTACTAACTTGCATATTTTAGATACATTATTTCAAAACTATGGATTAGTTTGAAGTAGATTTTGTTTGTGAATTAAATTTGATACATTTTATTTTTACTTCTAATGGAAATTAGTCAATTTTATACAAATTATTTAGATCTTTCATACAAAAAAAGAATGAAGCAGAAAAAATAAGATAAGTATACAGTTTTTTTTAAAAATCATAAAAAAGATTTTGTTTGATCTTGCTAGAACTCATTATTAGTAATATTGAATTTTTCGTAAATGATATTTGCAATATAAGGTTATTTAAATTATGTAAGAGAAAGAAACACTTTGTGATTTTGGAAAACAAAATCAAGCTATGAGCAAATAATTTCAAGGTATCTTATCTATTATGGGCTATCCATAGATCAGTTATGTGTAAAATTTTTTGAGCTTTTCATGCATGATTTTGAAAGACTAATTATACAACATATGAATTATTTTGCCTAGTATATTTTTTTATCAGGCAAGCTAAATATTGTATTTATTAAAGACATTGAAATTAGTTTTACTAATTTTACCAATTCAACACCAGTTCACCAATAGTGAAACTATTTCACCACTCTAATCTTATTTTACTAGCATTTTTGGGTTTAATTTCTTTATGAATTTATAAAAATAAGGATTTGATACAAGATTTGATTGATAGAGCATCACAGATAAGAAATTACATATTGATTTATTATACAGATAGGAGTCTGATTTTAAAGAAATATTATAATTTCTTACAGAAATATTATATAATTTCTTACAGAAATAATTTTATTAACAAAAACTATTTGTTATCTAATCTATATAATATAGTTCCATCCTCTCTAATACTATGACTTTGCCATAAATGAAATATTAGATTCAAAGTTAATCCTCCCACAACTCTAATTTGTATATCGCATTTTTTACCCAACTCATTCAATATGATACAAGTGTTATATATAATATAATTAGATCTTTATTCTGTAACTTTTTTTAATTTGAAATACTTCCACACCCAGCTTTGTTTTTTTAATCCATCTATGTGTTCTAATCTTTTAGATGTTTTATTTTCATTTACATCATTTGTACCTTCTAATACCGGACTATTAAGTTGGCCAGTAAATAGCTTATTGAACAACTGGACTAGTAGAGATAGTAAACTGCTTTCTTCCATAATTTATATATAAAACCAAGGTTTGGCTTTATTAAAAAATTAATGAGGCACAAGATTAAATATATGTTTATAATATTTATTTTAATAAGATTTATAATAATATTAGATTAAACAATGATATGAAATATAGTACAAGCAGCGGCAACAAAAAACTCTTTATATTTCTTTTATATAATAGTAGTTCTTGATATCTTTTTGATACTTGTTACTATTATCTTTTCTCTATTCTATATGAATTAGAGAAATGATAAGATTGTTGTATAGGGAACTATTCTACTTTCTCTAATTTGCTGAATTTTTTATTGATTTAACTTCATCTCATTTTTATGCAGGTAGTGAATCAATAAGATGTCACAAAATAGCCAGAGATTGGACCAAAGTAGAAATTACTATAGTATATTATCTGAAATATATTATGTAATCTATCTAGGACTTTCTTAATATACTTAATCTCTAATCATGACATTGATATATTCTAAATACACAACCTCTATAATTTTAAGGCTGTGGTTAAGATTTATAAAAACCTCTGCTTAAACAATAGTGCATATTGTATTATTGTTGAAGTTTCTTTTTTTCTTTTGAATTGCAGTATATCTTAACTTCAAATATATGTAATATGAATTCTTTGGCGATAGAATGAATGTTTTATTAAAAACTGCAAAAAAGTTTATCATTTGTGATTCAATTGAACTAAATTTGTATACTATGATTTGAATAAAATATTTAATATATGATACTGAGTATACTGGGAATTTTGCACTTTTACTAATATATGCATTGTATTTTATATAGTAGTCATTCAAACTTAGTAAATTTTATTAAACAAAATATGCAATATGTATTTCATAGTTATTTTTTATATACTGTTCCAAATGCTGTTATAAATGCTTTTCTTTGAACTTTTATAATACACGTTAACAAGGGTCAACTGATTGAAAAGACGGGAGAGTGGTCAGGATCATACACTATATATTACGACTCTGTCTGATATTGCAGGTCAGGGATTGATCAACCACATGCGAATACAACTACATAACAGAAAAGCCATCGATCTCAATTAGTATATAGAGAGTGAAAATAAACCACTATTAACATTCTTTTTTTTCTCTTGCAACACAACCAAGCATTATAACTATCATTTTCTTAACCCAACCCATCTCATTACATATAGAAATCTCTAGATTCTGCCATTTTTTTATTTAATAGCAGCCTGCTTCGAGCAGGCAGGAAACCACTGGCTAATGCTACTTCTTACTCGTTCTACTGTTATGATGATACCTAAGCACAATCTTACTTGCAGAAGCATATCATCATTTTAGTTCAAATTACTCTGCTCAAATTACTCAGTTCAAATCACTTACAATATATTCTGCAAACTTAAAGTTCTTTAATAAATTTATTTCTGGTATCTTTGGCTAGCTGGCATTCTTCCAATTACATAAGCAGTTAGATCTATACTTTTTGGGTTTGCGATGTACTTTACATA